AGTGGTGTTGACCATGTCATCCCAGAGATTTCTTTTCTCTTTTTCACTCAAGAATAGGAAAAGCATTTACATCACATCTTCTGAAATTCCATAAACAAATCAATTTGAAGGAAGGAGAATACCTTTTTCTGGGCTAGCACTGAAAAATAATGGCTTTATTATTGCTTTTGTAAATATATACATGAACTCCTTCCCAAATTTCAAATAGATAATAAATATTTACTATACTGTATTCATAGGATATTGTCAGCACACTTGAATGGCATAATTAGGGAAAGTAAAATCAAATTTAATATCATACCATTGATTATCATTAGTCAAATTATGAAAGCACATCAATAAAAATGTTTTTAAAATAATTCCGTTGTATAATGCTATTTAAATCTGTATCATATTTAGTTGTAATCTAAAAAAATAAATATCAGGCTATCAGAAAATAAAAAATAACAAGATGCCAAATATCACTACATACTAGATTCGTATACTAACTACTTTATATACTAAATACTAACTTTATAATCTTGTTGATTATGTTTCTGTGTTCTAAAGTTATATATAAATATGCCTGAATATCTTCAGATAGTTTTAAATTTCAAAAAAACTTTTTAGTGACAGTTAAAGACTAGTTTAAGAGATTCTGCAGTGAAAGAATATTCCATGTATCAGGGATTAGTAAACTTTTTATGTAAAGGACCAGAGAGTACATAAATATTTTAGGTTTTGCGAGCCATTCAATCTCTGTCACCACTATTCAACTTCATAGGCACATAAAACAAAGCAGCCGTCGACAAGATTTAAATGACTAAGCATGGCTGTGATCCAATACATTTTATTTATAAAAAGATCTGGCAGGCCAGATTTGACCCACAAGCTACAGTTTGTGAACCCCTGACAGATGTAATTAAATCTCTTTATCAGCACACTTTGGCTACAAGTAATAAAACACCCAACAAATAAATGAGAATAGCCATTTCTGTCTATTTTATTCACTAATGTATCTGAAAGCCTTAAATGGTGCCTGACATTTAGTAACCACTCAACAGTTGTGAATGACTATTTTCTTACTTCACCTAATATTAACTTGGAAGGTATACAGTTCCAGATTTGCTTCAGCAGCTCAATAACATCATTTAAGGACTTTGCAAAGGTTTCCTCATGTTTCTCTTCTTCTAATCTTCTCATGTTGCTGATACCTACACACATAGTTAAAAAATGGCTATAGCAGCTTCACACATCACTTTCTAAAATGATAGGGAGCAGGAAAAGGGGAAAGCTTTCTTTTTGCCCTCTCTCCTCTTATTAGAGAGAAAAAGCTTTTTCAGAAGCTCCACAAGAGATTTTCCTTTATATCTCACTGGCTAAAACTAGGTCACATGTCCACTTCCAAGCCAATTCCTGGCAAAAAGACATAAAAACTGGTTTAGGTCAATGATTTATTATCTCAGGTTGTGGAAGAAGCTCATCTTCCCTGAGCACATTGCCACTGGAACAAAATTAGGGTTATGTGACTATGTATGAAGGAAAAAAACAGCTCTTGTACTGGCAACAGATGATGTCTTCCATACCCTCAATAGTAAAATAAAAAATGACAACAATAAAATTTACTTTGTATTTAGTTAGTATCAGAAAATGCTGTACATGTATTCATTCATTTATTCAATTATCTTACTCAATTTCCTTCCTCTGGAAAGTTATGAGAGGAGGAAAAAATAGTATTGAGAAAGAAACAAGACAAAGCAAAACAAAACAAAAACCTCTATAATCTCAACATGAAATACATTTCAAGGATTTCAAAATGGAAGGGAGAATACTACTACTAATAATATGCTTTTTTTTTTTTTTTTACTTTTTCCTCAGTCTGAGTTTTATAAAATGACTTCATTATTTCCTATTTGTAGTAAATTCTCAGATAATATACTCTGATATACAAATGTAAGTATTAAAATTTTTCCAAAATTCAGTAATGTGAAATTGTATACTTTTACACAATCCACGCCATTGCTAGCTTCCATTATTTAGACCTGTCCATGTATATTTATTTAAGGTATTTTCCTTAAAAATTAAATTCTTTTGATTTTGTAGTCCTTAGCTGCAAATACAATTAAAAGTAGGATGTTGTCCTAATGACATAATCAGTAGAGTTCACTTTAAAACCTGATTAACACTATCAAGTTACCAAAAGTGTCTTTAATAAACTTAGAATCCATTTTTTTACACTTTCCTATTATACTAGGAATAAACATATTCATGAGACATGACTGCATTACCGTTAAATAGGTGAAGGCAGATTTTAAAGACCGGCTTCAAAAGACCTGGATATGAAAGGAATAATATAAAGTCCAATATAGGAAACAATTAAATGATTAGCTCAACCATAAAATACCTTGTCTATTCTCAGCACATTAATATACAAACTTTATCTAAGTATATTGGTGATTCAGAAATCTTTATAATATTCTTTACTAGGAAGAGTATATTCCTGCTTAATAAGTATTTTGGAAAAGAATAGTAAATCATAAAATATTAAGATTTTAAAAAGTTTTCCATGGGAAAAAAACAAAAATAAATGAGAAAAACTAAAAGCCCAATTAAAAGATTTACTTTATTTTGCACTTCAGTAAACACTGACAGCTTAAATATGTGAAGTTTTTGGAAATTAGAAGGAAAGAAAACTAATGGAAAATACAAGCAAGAGAAAATCATGAACTAGCCAAGGGCAAGACAATTCCATGGGTGTGCTACGTAATTTTAAGGAACAGCATGTATTAATTTAAATATAGCTACACTAAAATAAATGCAATAAAAATAAAAATAAAATTACTATATAATATAGAAGAATACAATAAAAGAATGTCAAACTTTAAAAGAGCCCATGTTTTGAACAAATTTAGAACTAAAAAAACTTTGGATATTTAGTCTAGTTAAAAGTCAACAAAAAAAGATGTATCAGATTTCAGTCCAGTAATATGAATTTTATGGGTTAAAGTTAAGAAACTTGGTATGGAAAAGCTTTAAACATTTTTTAGAAGCAAACATAAGAGAAGATCTCTATGATGTTAGGCTGAGAAAGGACTTCTTACAGGAGATACAAAGAACAACAACCACAGGAGAAGAGTGAGAGATTCAAATACATTAAGTTAAAAAAAAAGAAAAAAATTCTGTTAATCAAACACACCACAATCTGGGAATACAGATTTGAAACATCTATTATTGAATGTGTTCTATGAACCACTGGCACTAATTATTTATTTCTGTCCCCTTTCATATTCTGGCCTCCGTCCCACGGGCGAAAAGTCTCAAACTACATTGTCCAGATGTCTTGCAGCTGAAGTTGTGGATAAGATTAAAATTTTACCAATGAGAGGCATTTCAGGGAGATATGGAAGGCAGAAGTGAGCTGAGACCATTTTTCTGTTGATATAGTGGCTGGTAAGTAAAACTGGATAGACAAAAATGTCTCTTGTAGTCAATATCATATGGTCCTTTTTCCAATATTGTCTCCAGCTTTATGGAAATGATGCTGCCATGGTAATAGGGATGGTGTAGCACCATAAATTCCTGACCTCAGGATTATAGTCTCTGAGGTGTAACTGTAAAACCAATCATTTAGTAGCACTTAACTGTAAGTGAATTAAATCCTTTCTTGTTTGAAATTTCTACAATGGTTATTGTTTACTGCGTTGAGACTGTCTGGCACATCAACAAATTTTCAGAATACAGATCACATAATGCACTTTGACAATTTAATAAGAAAAAGATAAGTAGAAATGGGGAAAATATATGAACAAGCATTTTATGAGAAAAGAAAACCACATAGGTAAATAAACATATAAATGGTCAATAACGGCAGGCTGAGGTGGGCAGATCATGAGGTCAGGAGATCGAGACTATCCTGGCTAACACAGTGAATCCCCATCTCTACTGAAAATACAAAAAATTAGCTGGGTGTGGTGGCGGGCGCCTGTAGTCCCAGCTACTTGGGAGGCTGAGGCAGGAGAATGGCACGAACCCGGGAGGCAGAGCTTGCACTGAGTCGAGATCGCACCACTGCACTCCAGCCTGGGAGACAGAGCAAGACTCCATCTCAAGAAAAAAAAAAAAAAAAAAAGTCAATAATATTAGTATTCAGGAAAATGCAAATTAAAACCACAATAAAAAAGTATTTAACAGTCAAAATGATGAAAATTAGGAAGCTTAACAAGAGCTACAGATATTAAAAGATATGGATCAATATAAACTCATAAATATCACTGGTAAGAGTATAAATTGGTATAGCTATTTTGGAAATTAAGTTGATATTATATTGCAAAATTGATATTCATATAACCTATAATCCAGCAACTTCCTTCCTTGAAACTCTTGCACTTGTGTGTGTTATTCAATAAAAAAGTCCTAGAACACTAGATACCATTTTTATACAGTCTTTAAAAATATAAAACTAAAAAGTATATTGCTTGGAGATACACATACCTATAAAAAAACTGTAAAAGCAAGGGAATAATAAACACAAAATTCAAGATAGTGTTTATCTCTGGCAGAGAGAAAGAGAAGGACGGGAAATGGAAGAAAACCATGGATAGATGCACGAGTATTGGCAACATTTTAACACTCAAGCTGAGTGGTATGTTGAGAAGTTTTCATTTTATCAATATGTTTTCCAACATACATATATGTTATATACTACATTATTGATTGCTAATATTTGTAAGGTGCTTATTTTGTACCCTACTCCAAGTACTTACTTTATCCCTTACAGTCAGCCCTATGAAATAGGTTCTATTATGATATCTGATTTATAGAAGAGGACACTAAAACAGAAAGGGAAGTAACCTGTTCAGGGTCACACGGCTAACAAGTAATTGAGCCAGGAGTCAAATAGAAAAATCAGGCCCCAGAGCCCACATTCTTAACTATTAATACTATAGCTATCAAATATCAAATAACAAAAATAAAAGTTACCTAAGACAATAAAAGATAAAACCAATAGTTAATTGATTTACCTTTCATTTTCCTTGATGACACTTTCAAGCTGTAGTTTCATCTCACCCACCTGTTTCTGAAAGAATAAAATATGGTGTCGCAATACATTTTCCAGACAATCAGCTCTCCATTAAGTAGACCACTCATGTAAGCAATCAGATTCTGACACTGGTCTAGTGTCAGATTAGAAAGACTTATTCCTTATTTCTAACAAAGGGATAATTAATATGGATAGTTTACTAATAAGCAGAATACAATAAAACATTCATTTTAAATAGAATATAAATAAAATAGAAAGATTTTATGTAACACAGTGAGAAATATTTATAAATGTAATTCCTATGACTTGTAGCTGTGAAAAACAGATGAAAGATATTCCGGAGTATGTCACTATAACAAATACCAGATGGTTCCTGTATCTTGAATGTATATCTTAGTTAATTCACCTCAGTTTAGTGAAGCCCATATAAGCATATGTATTTTTCTAGTATTTCAAAAGGTAAAATGCTAACAGTAAGAAGAAAATGGAGGTCTTTTTTAGCAGTCATTCATTCAGTCTCTGATTCACCACTTTCATTAACTATCTAAACTCTCTGTACCATACAAGGCTGCTAAGGTAAACAGACATGCTCACTGAAAAATAGTAGGAAAGATGGTTAAAAAAAAAAAAAATCACCTAACTAAAATACAAGGAAGAATAAAATGCACACTAGAAAGGGAATTAAATGAAGGTCTGATTAATGCTCTCTGAAGGAGTAAAAAGATGTTAGGATTTCAAAAGAAAAGAAAGAGCATTTAAAGTTGGTGAAAATATGAGTAAAAGCAAAATAGCAAAAAATAAGTAGTCAACTCTCAGTAAGTGTGAATGAGCAAGTGGAGAGCATACACACACACACCCACCCCCCGAAAAAAAACCCTGAATTTATATGGAAAAGCATGCAAAATCTCACTTAAAACTGTAATCAATTCATGATTGTGTATTAGTCTTGATTGTGCTTCCTAGGCTAAAGGAGAGAAGCTTATCCTGGAGTACACCTTCACAACGGACGGGTGGAACAGGCAGTTCTCCAAGCCTTTTTCTCTCCCTTTCAACCAGAGATCAAGGCAGCTTGGTCTAGGAGATCAGAATAGTGAATGCTAACTATAAATTTGGTTTGAAAGGTGAACTTTTCCAAGGTCCCCGTTATGCCTGAAATAATTAAACCAACATGAATTAATTCACTACCAGATAATTGAGCACTGGCCATATATGGACCGATACAGTGAGAGAGAAAATTGGAAAGACAGGTACAGGGTTTTGAGAATGCCATGGCAAGAGGTTTGGATTTATTGTAGCAATTATGTTGATTTTATAATTTTTAAATAATTTTTTTTTCCCTGAGATGGCGTCTCACTCTGTCTCTTAAGCTGGAGTGTTCTCAAGAGCATGATCACAGCCCACTGCAGCCAATAAACTCATCTTTAAAAGTTGCAAAACTATCAGTGCATCTTAAAGAATGTTTATTACTCTTAAATAATTATGTAAGATATATACTCATTAGCTAAGACTAAAGATGGATTGTAACACTCTCACTATAAATTCCTTACTGTAAAATATTTCAAAATATTTACATTTGGAAGGAAGTGAAATCCACACAGTATTTCTCACATCATCAAATTTTTCCCTTCTATTTATATTTTTTGGCAAAAAATCGTCCATATAGAGAATTGCAGCGCTACTTTTCCTGCTTTGGAGATAGCACTATTTTTTGACTAGGTCAATAAGTCATAAGAACTAGTACTTCTAATCAATCACATCTATCTGAGCAACCATTCTTAGATGTCAACATTTTTTTTTCTCTAAAAGAAGGAGCAATTATTTTCATCATCAAAGACTCTTAGGCTTTCTAGCATAGTTTATTTCTCTCTTGTAATTAATTCAGTGATCACCCTCTGGCGGTAAAGAATGCAAAATGGAAAAACAAACTTAAACATCTTAGTAAAATGGCTTATTAAAGAAATACATGAATCAGATTATAAAAAATTTAAAAGAATTTAATTTCAAGATAATTAGCTATCCTATGTTATAACAACCAAAGTACATAATATGTTATTATAGGAATTTAGAAAGAGTAAATTCAGCAGAAACTTTAAATTCACTAGTCCTGAAAACAAAAAGAAAATATCATTTGTACAAAAGAGGGCTTTCCGTTGCTCTTTAATTGTCAGCTAGGAAGATTAAAAGACATTACTGTGCTTGTCCTAAATTTAAATGACTACAGGCTAAGAAATACACAGTAAAGACCAGGAAGACTTTATGATAAAAGACACTATAATTTTAATGAAATGCTTTTATTTGATATTTGGGTCTAGAGGACAACTTTGTACATTTATGTGTTTGAGAAATAACCTTGGAAATGAAAGCCTACATAATTTCAAATGCAGTGAAAGAACCTAATTTTATTTTTAGCAATTGGAAGCATTATGTGTTCTTTTAGTAAAGCTACATATCAATGCATTAATTGATAAGTAAGGGCTTGTTAAGCTAGCTCTAATCATCTTATTCCCATAAACCCTGGCATTTAATCATTTATTAAATATTTAAGGGCCTACTATGTGCTACACTTGAAAGTATACAGTAGGATCCCTTCATGTCCATGCCTAAAAAGAAAAGGAAGTAAGGGAGAAAGTGCTTAGTGTCTGCCACACACACGGCCCCATTCTGAGGAAATCAGTCTCAGGGGTTGCTTTACTATATTTTATTTTATTTTTTTTTTGAGACAGAGTCTCACTCTGTTGCCCAGGCTGGAGTGTGGTGGCATGATCTCAGCTCACTGCAGCCTCTGCCTCCCGGGTTCAAGTGATTTCTCCTGCCTCAGCCTCCCGAGTAGCTGGGATTACAGGTGTGTGCCACCATACCTGGCTAATTTTTGTATTTTTAGTAGAGACGGGAATTCATTATGTTGGCCAGGCTGGTCTCAAACTCCTGACCTCAAGGGATCTCCATACCTTGTCCTCCCAAAGTGCTGGGATTACAGACATGAGCCACCACACCTGGCCAGGGTGCTTTAATATAAAGTCATTATACTCTCTTCCATTTGCATTAATGAAAGCCAACTCTGCCACCCTTGCTACAACTGTATTTATCCAGGAATTGGTATCTAAACCAACTACAATCATGAGTATATTCAAGCTCTAATAAAGAGAGGTCATTGCCTCCTGATAGGCTTAGCTTGAGACATATAAGTTCTATTTAAGAAATACTTCCATTATATGGTTATCACAGTATCGGAAAGGTCAAAATTTTAGGGGAAAACATTAAAAGACATTTTCAGATCAAAGAAACACATTATAAATATTAGGTATATTCTAAACATGTAGCTCATTGAAACTCAAATTGTACCCTAAACAATTTTGTGCTATTATTCCAGTTCTCCATAAGTCCTGGGACCCAAAATGATAATCCATTCTGCAAGTAATGGGAAATGCAGATAGAATGAGGTAAGGAGGAAGGTCTGAAAGGATGAGAGACAGTTTTACGTTAAAAATAGAGAGATGTAAGCAAACAATAAGGAGATTAAGAGCTTCTTCTAAGCACCTAAGAAATATCTCATGCAAGACAGCAAGAGCAAGGAAACACTGAATTAAAAGACAAGACTGAAGAGAATATTAATTTTCTTTGAGACAAGGTCCAGTTCTGTTGCCTAGGCTGGAGTGCAGCGGCTTGACCACAGCTCAATAAAGCCTCGACCTCCCAGGCTCAAGCAATTCTCTTACTTCAGCCTTCTGAGTAGCTAGGACCACAGGTGCACACCACTACACCCAGCTAACTTAATCCCAGCACTTTGGGAGGCCAAGGTGGGCGGATGACGAGGTCAGGAGATCAAGACCATCCTGGCCAACATGGTGAAACCCCATCTCTACTAAAAACACAAAAATTAGCTGGGCACAGTGGCTCATGCCTGTAATCCCAGCTACTCAGGAGGCTGAGGCAGGAGAATAGCTTGAACCAGGGAGTTAGAGGTTGCAGTGAGCCAAGATCACACCACTGCACTCCAGGCTGGCAACAGAGTGAGATTCCATCTCCAAAAAAAAAAAAGAAAGAAAAAGAAAAAGAAAAAGAAAGAGATGAGTCTCACTATGTTACCCAGGCTGGTCAAATGATCTTCCTGTCTCAGCCTCCCAAAGTGCTGGGATTACAGGTGTGAGTCACTGCACCCAGCTAGAAGAGAATCTTTAAACAAACATACACACATATATACATTCACACACATTTACAGAGGGCCACCAATTGGTTAGTTACAGCAAATATTCTCTTTCTCATCAATGTCTTTTTAAAAAGAGGGAGTCTATTTTACTTTTTATTTTCATAATGAAATATTATAAAAGCCTCATAACTATGATTTCATACCTGATAATATTTCAGCTGCCCATTTAGTTCTCCTAGATGTTTATCATACTCAGTTATAAGAGGAGCTAAAAAGCTAAAAAAAAAAAAAAGACAATAAAAATATAGCACATTCTGTTCCATCTAGTTTAATAAATATATAACAAGTGAAATAAATTACACATAAAAATTTTATGTTTAGTCTACTCATGCAATCAAAACTTTTCCCTTTTTTCCAAAACCAGGAGTTTTAAATGTTTGTACAATTAATATTTTGGACTGAAAAATTCTTTGTTGTGGAGTGGCTAGTCTGTGCATTGAAGGATGTTTAACAGCATCCTTGGCCTCTACCCATTAGATGGCAGCAGCAGTCTCACTTTCCACAGTAGTGACAAGCAAAAATGTTTCTAGACATTGCCAAATATCTCCTGGTGAAACAGGGGTAAAATCATTCCGTCTGAGAACTAATTTTGTAGACTCTGTAATACTTGCTTTTTCTTGTCAATTCAAGAACAAAGCATTTAAGTTTAATAACAGCAGATCATGAAACAAACATTCCTGATACTAAAAGAATTACTTTAATAACAATTAAATATAACTAAGAAAATGATATTATTCTGGTTAATACTTTACCTTTGGTCAAACACGAGGTTTTCAAATGTGTCGTCTCCTTCTCCTTGGCAGACAGCTTTCTATAAGAGAATGTGCATCTTAAATGTGTTCTCACATCATTCTAGCCAAAACTGATAGTGATTTAATATTAAATGCAATTAAATTTTCATAAACTTAGAAAATCTATTTATGTCATTCATAATGAGAGAAAAAGAAAAAATAATAATCTCAATTTATATTGAAAAGCATTTGGTAAATTTAATACCCGTGCATAATAAAAACCATTGGCAAATTAGAAATTTGAGGAACTTTTCTTAATTTGATAAAAATATCTGCCAGAAATCTAATCAATTACAATTTAAAGGTTGAAAAGCAAGAAGCAAGGCTATTATTATCTACAAACAATTTGGCCATTTACCTAAAAACTCAGTAAAATCTACCAATTATTAGAACTAGTAAGAGAATACACTAAAAGTCACCAGACAGAAAATGAACACTTAAAAAAAAAATTACTAGCTTTTTCAAATACCAGCAATGATTAGAAAATGTAATATAAAAAATCCTATTCACTACTATGACAAACAATATCTGCAGAATAAAGCAAACAAAAAATGGTACAGGAGCTTATTGAGAAAATTAGTTTTACTAAAGGATATAAAAGGAAATCTAAACAAACATGGTACTATAGCATTCATCTATGGGTGCAATGGTCAATATTTTGAATATGTCAGCTCTCTAAAATTGACTACAACTTCATTGCACTCAAAAATGAAGTTCCAATAGAATAATTTATAAAAGTTCCATGAAAGAGTAAGTGTGAAAAATTAGCCAAGATAATCTCACCAAAAAAAAAAAGGAAAAGAAAAAAGAAAGAGAAGAACTTGGCTCACTACATAGCAAAACACCACAATGTTACAGCAATTTTAACAGTATGCTATAGGTACAGTAACAAACTCAACAGTATAACAAACCCAGAAATAGATTCAAGCATTTATAGGTATGTGGTATATAAAATAAGAGGAATTATAATCGAATGGACACAGTACTGCTATCCAACAAATAGTACTGGATAACAAACAAAATTAGATTCTAGCACATACTAAATGGAAAAATATAGATAAAAATCCAAATGTTAAAATTTTAACAATTATTGCAAGAAAATGCATTATTGACCTTGAGTTAGACAATGCTTTCTTAACTTCACAAATGCAGAAATTTTTGTCTGTTTTGTTTGCAAATATCTCAAGCAGCACCTGCCATACTTTTTTGCTCAAATTACATTTGTTAGCTGGAAGACACCAGGAGCAAAACCTATAAATGGAAAGACTGACACATTTTACAACATCCAAATTTAAAACTTCTATACAGCTAAAGACACCATAAGCAAAGTTAAAAGACCTATAGCATTCGTAGCATGACCAGAAATTTTGTATCTATGGTATATGGAGAAACATTTAAACACAAGATGTGCGAGGTTTTTCAGTGGTGCCTTTACTATAAAACATAGCTAACAAAATGTCTTTCAACAGAATAAATAAAAAATGATACAATAGAATCCCATAAGTAGTTCAAGAAATTAATTAAATTTATATGTATCAAAATAGATATATCATAAAAAACAAAGAAGTTATTTCTAGGGGTGGAGAGAAGAAAATAGGACAGAGAAGGAAGGCGGTCAAAGGGATCACTAAAAGCATCTGTAATATTCTGGCTTTTTGAAGGGAGAAAGTATTTATGATCACATACATATTAAAGAGTAATTTTAAAGCATAACTCAAGCCTCTGAGTTCTAAAGTTTCACTTAATTAATTTTTAATATTTTACTCTGTAAATATTTATTTACCTACTATGTGTAAGGGCCCATGGGAGGTACAGTAAATAATACAAAGATGAACAACTCACAGTCCTTATCCACTGAATGGACTGTAGAGTTATAGGCAAAAACAGGCAAATAAGCAAGGAACAATAATAAGAATAAAGACATACCATGAAAGAGGCATAGAATGGTGAGAATGAGTGGATGAAAGGAAGATAATCAATACTGTTTTTATTCAAGTACTACATACATACAGAAGACTGTGCAAATTATAAGTATACAGCTAAATAATTCTCACAAAGTGAATATACTCATGTAACCAGAACACAAATCAAGCAACACAAGTACTCCTCACTTTGCATGTTGGTATAAGTGTCTTCATTTTGCACAGTTCTGTGGAAACATCAAATCCAAGTAAGGACAAAGTTGTGATACACACAAGTTTCAGTTAATATGGCACTGCAAAAAGTGAGAATTGTGTATATAACCAACAACCCCTAAACCCCTAAGTCACTACTCCCAGGCTCCATGTGGGACCCAAATCCTGACTTCTAACAGTATGAAATCATTTTGCCTGTTTTTTTAAAAAAATTATAAAAATATAACCATACAGTATATTTTCTGTTATGTCTGGCTTCTTTTGCTTACCACTGGGTTTGTGAGATTCATTCTTACTGCTGTGGGTAATTTTGGTTCGTTCATTCTTACTGACATATACCATTTCACTTTGTAAGTATGCCACAATATATTTATGCTTTCTATTATTATTTATTTATTTATTTTTGAGATGGAGTCTCGCTCTGTTGCCCAGGCAGGAGTGCAGTGGCACGATCTCGGCTCACTGCAACCTCCGCCTCCCAGGTTCATGCCATTCTCCTGCCTCAGCCTCCTGAGTATCTCGGACTACAGGTGCCTGCCACCACGCCTGGCTAATTTTTTGTATTTTTAGTAGAGATGGGGTTTCACCGTGTTAGCCAGGATGGTCTCGATCTCCTGACCTCGTGATCCGCCTGCCTTGGCCCCGCAAAGTACTGGGATTACAGGCGTGAGCCACCGTGCCTGGCTATGCTTTCTATTATTAAATGAAGTATCTGGGTTGTTCATTATTTGGCTATTATAAATAGTGCTGCTACAAACATTCTTGAAAAGGTCTTCTTGGTATAGGCATTTCTGATGGGTATACCTACAGGTAAAACTGATGACTCATAAGGTCTGTATCAGTCAGATCTAGAATAAAATGTCAAACAATTTTCTGAAGTAATCTTACCAATTTACTCTCCCACAGGCAGTGTATGAGAGTTATTCCACATCTTTGTCAACACTTGGAGTTATGCTTTTCACTCTAGCCAGTGGATGTAGTAGTATTTCATTGTGGTTTGAATTTCCATTTACCTGATAAACAATGAAGTTGAACACTCTTTTCTACAGTTACTAAGCATTTTAAATACCTCCTTTTGTGAAGTGACCTGTTTCTCTAATGGATAATTGTTTTAGTTATTTATTTGAAGACATTCTTCAAATATTCTAGATTTTTGCAAGATTACAAATATATTCTCCATTCCATAGCTTATCTTTTTACTTTCTTAATGGTGTCTTAAAAACATAAGTTCTTTCATTTTGAAGTAGCCCAGTTTATCATTTCTTTCCTTTATGATTAGTGCTTATGTCCCGTTTAAGCCATCCTGCCTACTATAAGCTCATAACGTCTTCCCTCAAGTTTTATTCTAAAAGCTTTACCTTAACATTTAGATATGCAATCAACGCAGAAATCACATATAAGAGTAGTTTGGGTAGAGATCAAAATTCATTTTTCTTTATTCTGAATGAAAGTCTGGTATGTGTAAAGCTATTTCTAAACTTTATTCTGTTTAACTGGCTTGTTTCCTTGGCCAATACCATACTAACCAAATTACTATAGCTTTATAGTAAATATTAAGACCTGGTAGTATCTGTTTCCAAGTGTAGTTGTTCTGCAAGATTGTCTTAGCTCTTCTTGTCCTTTTTCATATAAATTTTGAGGGGGAACTATTATGTTTTTGAGGAACTTCCATACTGTTCTCCACAGTGGCTAAACTAATGTATATTTCTACCAACAGTGTATGAGGGTTCCCCTTTCTCTACATCCTCACCAGCATCCATTATTGCCTGTCTTTAGGACAAAAGTCATTCAAACAGGGGTGAGATGGGATCTCACTGTGGTTTTGATATGCATTTCTCTAATGATGACTAAATGTTTAGCATTTTTTTCATATACTTCTTGGCCAGTTGTATGTCTTCTTTTAGAGATGTCTATTCAGTTCATTTACTCATTTTTAAATTGGATTCTTCTTTTAACTGCTGAATTGTTTAAGCTACTTATATATTCTGGACATTTGTCTCTTGTCAGATGAATAGTTTTCAATTACTTTCTCCCATTTTGCCAGATTTCTCTTCATTCTGTTGACTGTTTCCTTTACAATACAGAAGCTTTTAAGATTGATATAATCCCATTTGTCTATATTTGCCTTTCTTGCTTATGCCTTTGAGGTCTTATCCATAAAACCTTTACCCAGGAAAATGTACTGAAACATTTATGTTTTTGTCCACCAGTTTCATAGTGTTTGGTGTTACATTTTTTTAGTCCATTTTGTGTTGATTTTTGTATATGGTAAGAGACAGGGGTGACTTATTTTTGGCACATGGATATCGAGTTTTTCCAGCACTATTTCTTTTTCTTTATTTGCAGATGACAGTTTTTTAATTTTAATTTTTATTTTACTTTAAGTTCTGGGATACATGTGCAGAACATGCAGGTTTGTTACATAGGTATACACGTGCCATGGTGGCTTGCTGCACCTATCAACCTGTCATCTAGGTTTTAACCCTGCATGCATTAGGTATTTGTCCTAATGCTCTCCTTCCCCTTACATGCCACCCCTGACAGGCCCTGGTGCGTGATGTTTCCCTCCTTGTGTCCATGTGTTCTCATTGTTCAATTCCCACTTATGAGTGAAAACATGCAGTGTTTGCCTTTCTGTTCCTGTGTTTGCTGAGGACAATGCTTTCTAGCTTCATTCATATCCCTGCAAAGTACATGAACGCATTCTTTTTTATGGCTGCATAATATTCCCTGGTGTATATGTGCCACATTTTCTTTATCCAGTCTATCATTCATGGGCATTTGGGTTGGTTCCAAGTCTTTGCTATTATAAATAGTGCCTCAATAAACATATGTGTGCATGTGACAGTAGAATAATTTATAATGCTTTAGGTATATACACAGTA